GGAGGAATGATTTCTAATTATGTGAGATGCTGGTTCATTCCATTTGGAAAACCCCCAGACATTAACTAAAACATTGGTCCAATGCCCAAATACCTAGACCTGGCTGTTAAGGAAACTCAGAATATTTTGATCAGAAATAAGGATTCTCAGAAAACACCCTTGCTGCTACCATCTCCAAAGTTAATTGAGTGTGGTGGTGGGAGCCGTGCTGTCTGGGCCTTTTATGTAATGAAAAGATCTCCTAAAAATAATCCTCAGACGCGCAGCTCATGAGGCCGGGTGGCTGAGCCAGCAGGGGCAGCAGAAGGTGCCGAGGAGGGTGGTCCCTGGACCAGCACCGTGGTTACCCGTAAATGATGCTTCGCGTATTCAGGGTGCAGGCGAGAGCCTGGGAGAGGCTTCAGTCGTGTCACGTGGAGACGAGGTTACTTCTGAGAGCTCCCGCTGTCGACTGGATTTCTGCACCCTCCCGGGTCCCTGGGAGACTGCCAGTGCTGGGAAATCAGGAGCAGCTCCTGTGAACGGGTCCAGGAATCAAGCTGGGCTTTAGCTCACTTTGCATCCATTGGGATCATAGGATAGCACCACTGGGAGGGGATCGCAGAGGTTTCAGCAGAGGTGGTGTGTGTGCAGCTGTTCTACTGAAGTGACGTTTGCAGTGGGACGGGAGGGAGGCACCAGGAACCACCTAAATACCCACTATAGGGGGGTGATAGAATAGACCATGGCCTGCCCTGGCCAGTTTGGCTCATTGTTTAGAGCACTGGCTCTCGAACTGAAGGGTGTCAAGTTCGATTTTGGTCAAGGGCACGTACCTCAGTTGCAGGCTTGATGCCTGGCCCCAGTCAGGACATGTGCAGTATGCAACCAATCGATGTGTCTCTCTCCCATCGATGTTTCTCTCACTCTCTCTTTCTCTCTCCCCCTTCCACTCTCTCTAAAAAGCAATGAAAAAATATCCTCAGGTGAGGATTAAAAAAAAATAATAATAATAATAAACCATGAGCAGCCCTACCCCCACTCCCCACCCCATGGACTGTTATGCAGCCATTAGAAAGATTTCGTAAGGTCTGTACCAGCTGGCCTGGATGTGGGACCACATGTGCTGCCAAATAAGAAATGTAAGATTTAGACAGATGTTTAGAGCTGGTGGCTACTGGGGTGCAGTTGGCCAGTGATGACAGCAGTAAACCTGGTCCTCTGCCCGGTTCTGTGCATCCCGTGAACTAAGAATAGCTTTTACGTTTCTCAGTAGTTTGGAAATAGTTGTAAAGTGTTGGAGAAAATATAAAGAAAATATTTTGTGGCCTGTGAACATTACGTGAAATTCAAATGTCAGGGGCCATGGTAAAGTCTTCTTGGAGGCCAGCGTGCTTACTCATATGCCCATCATCTGTTGTCTGGGTAGGAGATTTTCCCTCTATGGTGCCAGAGCTGAGTTGCTGCAACAGAGACCATGTGGGGTGCAGAGCAGAAAATATTTTCCTGGAAAAGTTCGCTGGCACCTGGTTCAGGACATGATGACATTCTGTAAAACAGCAGCGTCGGGCACTGTTCTCGGCCCTGTATCGAGTAAATTCACTCCATTTGTTTATTTATTCATTCATCTTATGACGTGTCCATCAGACTCTAGCGCCTACCTGTGGGCCAGGTTTGGGGAACCGGCGCTGAACAAGCAGACGCACCCCACCTGGCGGAGCGGGGAGTCCGTCTAGATCTACCTTTCTCCTATATAAACAGCCCCTCACTGTTTATCTCATACAGGGACATGCGGTCCAGCCCCTTGCATCCTGACTCCCTCCCTCCTCACACTGCACATCCTGATTGCCTCAGTGACGTCTGAGAAGAGGCATCCAGACTGGCCCCAGGCATCCTGGTATCCTGCAGGGAGGTCAAGGTCTAGAATGATTCATCCTGAATCGGGTCACGCTGGTTGGCCTGGCTTCAAGTGCTCAACACTCGGCCTTTGCATTTGCAGCTCCTGCTCTCCAGTGGTCTCAAGAGGGAGACTTGGCAGCCCTTGACCCGTCACGTGGATGGGAGCTGCTGTCAGCTATGAAGAAGAATGCGGCCTCGTCTCCACATGATCCCTCCCGCATAAAGCCAAAGCCACCTCCAGACACATGCCCCAGTGCCTCCGTCTCTGCAAAACCCGGAGAGCGGAGACCTGCTCCAGTCCCGGAGGAAGCCAGTTCTGCAGGGGCAATGTGAGGACTGCAGTTTGAACCACCAGTGTTGCCTCTTCTCCATTCACACTCATGACCAGCACCTCCCAGGAGACTGCTCTATTTATTTCTAGAAAAACAGCACTGAGCCACTCATTGTAGCCTCCCCACATTTGGACACTTGCTTTTGGTTCTGTCGGGCAGCCTAGAGCCCAGTGGTTGACAAAACGGACACATCGGGGAGCTGAAAGAGAAGCAGCCAGAGGCTGTGGGCAGAGGAAGGAGCCTCTGGGCCCCGGGATGGAGCCCAACACAACCTGTCTGGACTCTGTTGCGTTCAAGATCACCGTGAGTGTGGCCCTCACCACCCTCATCTTCATCACTATCGCTGGCAACGTGGTCGTCTGCCTGGCCGTGGGCCTGAACCGCCAGCTCCGCAATCTGACCAACTGCTTCATCGTGTCCTTGGCCGTCACTGACCTGCTCCTCGGCCTCCTGGTGCTGCCCTTCTCAGCCTTCTACCAGCTGTCCTGCAGGTGGGGCTTCAGTGGCGTCTTCTGCAACATCTACACCAGCCTGGACGTGATGCTCTGCACGGCCTCCATCCTCAATCTCTTCATGATCAGCCTTGACCGGTACTGCGCCGTCACAGACCCCCTGCGCTACCCTGTGCTAGTCACCCCGGTCCGGGTCGGCGTCTCCCTGGCCTTGATTTGGGTCGTCTCCATCACCCTGTCCTTCCTGTCTATCCACCTGGGGTGGAACAGCAGGAGTGAGACCAGCAGGGTCAATCACACCAACCTGTCCTGCAAAGTCCAGGTCAACTTGGTGTACGGCTTGGTGGATGGGCTGGTCACCTTCTACGTGCCTCTGCTGATCATGTGCGTCACCTACTACCGCATCTTCAAGATCGCCCGGGAGCAGGCCAAGAGGATCCATCACGCCAGCTCCTGGAAGGCGGCCACCATTAGGGAGCACAAGGCCACGGTGACACTGGCCGCCGTGATGGGGGCCTTCATCGTCTGCTGGTTCCCCTACTTCACCGTGTTTGTCTACCGGGGGCTGAGAGGGGATGAGGCCATCAACAAGACCTTGGAGGCTGTCGTTCTGTGGCTGGGCTACGCGAACTCGGCCTTGAACCCCATCCTGTACGCTGCGCTGAACAGAGACTTCCGCACGGCGTACCAGCAGCTCCTGCGCTGCACGTACGCCGGCCACAGCACCCACGACACTTCCCTGAGGTCCCAGGGCTCTCGGCTCTCCAGGACTCAAAGCCGAGTACCCGGGCAGCAGGAGGAGAAGCCCCTGAAGCTGCAGGTGTGGAGTGGGAGAGAGATCATGGCACCCCGAGGAGCCACAGACAGGTAACGACCCTGGCTTTCAGTGCCCAGGACAGGGGCACAGGGAGAGGTCCCTAACAGTGATCATTAAGGTAGCCACTGCTCGCGAGGTGCTGGCACTCTTCGTGAGGGCTTTGCAGACCTTGTGCTGTGCCATCATCTCCACAGCCCTCCCTCCCTACCCCCCGAGGTGAAACTTCTTACTTCCATTTTAAAAGGACCACAGCTTGGCCAGGGCCACACAGCTGGGACCTGGATGGACAGAGGTCCCCAGCTCCAGAACCGTGGGCCCTTTTTTCTAGTTACATTGTCCTGACAATCAGATGTCCTAAGTTTGAGGAGCTAGCAGCCCTAGTGCTCACTCACATTCTGCAGGACAGCCCTCAGGTGGTGCCTGGGAGGGGGATGAGAACCCAGCTCCTCTGCTGAGCACCTACTAGGCATCAGCTCTTACGCTGGGGGCACTCAGGTCGGAGGAGGAGCACTGGCCGAGTCGGGAAGGCAGGGGCTTGGACGCTGGGCCATAGGTCTTAGGGGAAGGCAGAAGTGTTGGAAGCAAGGCGAGGTGACCCAGGCAGCTCTGTGCTCTGGAAAGATGTGGACGAGAAGCCCGAGGCAGGACATGGGTGGAGGCGCTGTGGCACTGGTCTGTGAGAGAGGAGAAGGGAGCAGTGCAGAATCCAGAGGCTACGAGGAAAACAGGCTTGGGAACACTGGATGTTTGGGGTGCAGGAGATTTAAGAGGAAGGATGCCCCAGGATGCATCTCCAGGGGGTATCCAGGCTTAGAAGGTAAGCGGGATCAGAATGAGACTTAGACAAATCCACCGGTGACAGAGCTAGTGCAGGTGTTAAATGGGAAACCGCCCCGAAGACTTGAGCAGCACTGAGACGCATGCTCACGGCATGGAGAGGAAGGTCAGGGGAGCTGGGAGAGGAACGTGTGACAGGATGCTGGCAGGACACCTGGCACACAGATGCACTCAGTAGTTGTCACATCCCTTTCTCTTCCGCAGATCATGCCTCTGTCCCCAGGATGCTGGTCTGTGTGACTGACCCATTCATTCATCCACAAACATTTACCAACTTCCCACCGTAGGCTGAGAACGGTGCTGAGCACCAGGGATGTCGAAATGACACTTGGGGCATTTCTCAGCTCTGCCTTCACTCACTCTGGCTAGAGCAAGTCCCTGCCTCAGTTTCCTCATCTCACAGAGTGTGGGTCTGTCCACAGGTAGCCTGCCCCGCTCACTTCCCAGGGTTGCCTGAAGCGTACGTGAGTTAAGGGGCGCCCACGGGCTCTGCGACCCCCATGGATACAAGTATGTTCTCGAGCACTGAGTGTCGGTCTCAAGGAAAGCTTGGTTGGGTGCTGCAGACCCCCACCCTCTGGGCTCTGCTCTCTGTGGGTCTCTATGGGGAATACTGTTCAACCAGACCCCTGGGCCTCTTGTCCCCTGTGGTCTTTGCAGTGACCAGGTGGGGCATGTCCCCCCATAGACTTGGGTCTCGGGCCCTCCACCCCTCCGCTGCTAACCTTCCTCATCCAGCCTCCTCCCAGCCTCCCGGCCTCTAGACTCCCCCTCTCAAATCCATCCTGCAAGCCACCCAAAGGTATCTCTCCATAGTGCAGATCTGGAGACTTCCTGCCCAGCCCTGGCAGGTAAGATGCCTGTCCGTATCCTGCCACACTCCCTCCTTCAGGAAATGGCCTTGAGTACAAAGCTAGTTTAGTTTGGGAAAACAAAGAACGAAGCAGGGGTTGGGGTGGGGGTGGACTCTCCAGGAGGCGCCACACGATTCAGTCTAGCCATGCACGCCGCTTCCTCCTGCTCTTACCTGCGTGACCTTGGGGTGAATAGCCTGCATTACCCCTAATCCTCAGGGAAGCATTCAGTGAGCACTTAGAAGAGCTGGCACTCACTGGGTTCCACTGGCTGCTGGGTTTATAGTCTCGCCATTGTTTCTATGTATTGGCCATTCTGGGAAGACATCCTATCCCCAGCTGAGGGTGCACAGGGAGATGAAGCAATACTCCCACCCCACATCACCACTCATGCTACTGGTGGCTGCTCGGGGAGTCGCTGAGGAGCAGTCTGGCCCTGGTTCAGTGCAGCACATGCCCAGGATCAAAATGCAGTGTGCTGAGCACCAGGTGAGGTGGCATGTGGCCCAGACAGTCTGTCTCAGGGAGCAGACCTGTGAGCTCAGTCTTGAACGCAGATGGGAAAGACCCGTTCGTCCAGGGTGGTGGCAGAACCTTCAGACTTGTGGCCTCATTTCATTCTCTGCACAACCCCATGAAGTAGGTACTTGTTTAGTCTCCACTTTACAGATGGGAAAACTGAGGCTTAGAGAGCTAACTAATTAAATTGCCCCAGTGACACAAGCTAGTGAGTCAGCCAAAGCTAAGGTCTGAGCATCAACAGAAGTAGCAGCCCCCATTCCTGATGGGCCTGTGGGTGCCGGGCACACTGTGGGGTGTGAGCACCCACCTGCTCTTCTGGTCCTCATGGCCACCATGGGTGGGGGGGCTAGGAGGCACCAAGGCCAGCTGAGAGGCAGAGCCTGCCTGAGTCACACTCAGCAGCTGTGGTGCACCCAGGGAAGCAGTGGACTGGATGGAGGGGTCTGGCAGAGGGGGATAGGAACCAGTTGGAGGGCCTCACACAAGGTGAGGAGCTTGGGGGAGGGAGTGCAGGAGGCCAAGCAGAGACAGAGGTGGATTTCCCCACCGAGGCTGCCAGGGCAGTCGGGACCTTGAATGGCCCTCCATAAGGTCAGCTCCCAGCTTCCCTGATACCAATATCATGTCCTTCCTGCTGTCTGTCTGGGGACAAAAACCAGTGTTGACCTGACTGGGAACCCTTATCACTTCTGAGTGGGTGGAGCTGTCTGCTTGAGCAGAGAATTCCAAGGGACTGATCCAGGCCTGCCCTTGGGGTGGCAGCATGGTCAGCCAAGGGGAGATGTAGGAGGGAGAGTGGCCCCCTGGCCTGCGTCAACCAGCAGCCACCTCCCCAGCAGGATGTCCCGTCTGTCCCTTCCTGACCCCAGCTGGCCTCCCTCACCCCACTCCTCATCACCTCTGCCCTGGACAGCCTCACCGGCCTCCTCTCTGATCCCCAGCCCCAGCCTCGGCCTCTTCCCCTGCTCCACCTCCCCTGCTCGGTAGCCTCAGCCTCTAATGGACAGAAGTGGAGGTTACTGAGCTAGTTTCTGAGGGCTGCTGTAACTAATGACCAAGACCCTGGTGGTTGAAAACACACAAGTTCATTCTCTTACAGTTAGGAGGCCTAGAGTCTGAGATCAAGGTGTTGGCAGGGCTCCAGCGCAAAATCCGTTCCCTTGCCTTTTCCAGCCTCTGGCGGCCGTATACATTCCTTGGCTCGTGGCCCCCTCCTCACATCCCCCAACCTCTTGCCTCCATCCTCACACATTCTCACCTGTAGCCAAGTCTCCCTGTGCCCCTCTTACAATAGGGCACCTGTGATTACATTTAGGGCCCCTGGGATAATCCAGGATAACCTCCCCATCCTAAATTCCTTAATTTAATCACATCTGAGGAGTCCCTTTTTGCCGTTTAAGGTTCTAGTGATTAGGATGTGGACATGTCGGGGCGGGGGGGGGG